CAGTAACAAGGGCTCTGCCTTCTGCTGGAAGAAGAAAGGATTTTTACCTTTTTAGTAATAGAAAAGAAAGCCTATTGAATTACTCTCATTTCCTATACTGACAGAAGACGTAAGGATTTGCTCTCAGTTTTCAGAACTTCTGTTACTTTTCATGCCACATTTATTGGGTGGCTTAATTTTCAATTTAAAGAATACATTAATTTCATTTTCCTTGAACTGCTCTTTTTTTTTTTTTTTTTTTTTTTTTTTTTTTGAATAGGTGGGGAGGTAGGCACTAAGGCTGGCCAAGGGGGAAGTGATCCAGTCTCTTTAATTACTGAAAAGCAACGTGTACAGCACCAGGCTCGCTTCTGCACCACACAGACACAAGACCCCCAGCAAGGTTTCCAGACATGACTGCCATGGAGAGGTCCTCACCTCAGGCTGGGGCGGGGGCTTCGCAAAGCTCCTCCAGGCTTCCCAGTGTTCAAGAACAAAAACAGAAAGGACCAGGAGGGACTGCAGTGGCGTGTGGCTTCCTTACTTCCACTCAGTTCCTCACCCCTGTGCTTTCCTCCTTACTACCCCCTAATGGCAAGAAGAGCCAAAACCACATCGCCATACCCGCTAGGCTTCTGCTGCCCTCGGAATCCCTCTTAGGAATTCCTGGGGAGGCCACGGACCCACGGCTATGGTGGCTTTGCAAAGAAGCCCTGGCAAAGTCCTCGTGGCAGAAGATGATTAGCAGCTCCGTGACTCCTAGAGCAACACCAGCCCAGTAGCTGAGCCTGACTTGCATTAAATTTGTTTGCATTTTGTTTAAAAGCTAATATGTATTAAATACTTTACAGTGTGACACTAGTTTGCACAAATTAGTCTAGTTACTTCTCCAAATAAGGGTAAATATTTTAAATACCTCCATTTCACAGACATACAAACAGAGGCACAAGTAGAACATATTTGCACTCAGGCAGCCTCAATCCGGAGAATGAATTCTTAACTATTTAAGTGATTAATATATATTAAATTGGATGTCTGGTTCTACATTAAGCAATGCTACCTGAGAAAAACTATCCTCTAATAAAACAAGATATTTATGTCATGATATCAATGTCAAGTTAAGAATAGGCATGATGGTTGAGCCAGGCATGGTGGGACATGCCTGTAATCTTAGCACCCTGGAGACTGAGGCAGGAGGATCACTGGGATTTTGGGGTCAGCCTGGGATACGTAATTAGCTCAAGGCCAGCCTGCACTACATAGCAAGATGCTATCTCAAAAAAACAAAACCAAATAAACAAATGTCAAGTTAAACAAAAGATAAGAAATATTCTTTACAGAACCTCAAAATACCATTGTGAGAACCACTGAACTCTATTCTGTAAGAATGAAGAAAAACAGCCCCCTTTCTGATCAAAGCCCCTGCACTGCTCCTGCCTGAACTGTAACAACAGAGGGTGAGTGCTAGTGGGCCTGGCCACACCACTGCATAGTATGGGATGAGCAGACAGAGATACGTGGACAGAGGCCAGCGTCAATGCAGTAATTTTACAGAGCAAGCTAAGGCCCCACAAGTCTAATAAGTCTGTGAATATACAGATTATTAGGTCTCTTTATCTGGAAATTTCAGTATTGTCCATCTGGGTTGATGCTTAACAATGTCTTGTAAGAAGCTGTCAAGACCACTCTTGTTAGGGCTGGCCAGATAGCTCAGGGACCTGAAGCGCCGCCTTGGGCAGAGCACAGCGCCCACAGCTGGATAACCTGCCTGCACTGCTGGCCCCGCCCCCGCCCCCCCCCCCTCCATGGCGATTGAGACTGGGCGTGGTGATGCGTGCCTGCAGTCCCAGCGCTTGCGAGGCTGAAAACAGGAGAATCACTGAGTCCAGTATACGTAGTGAGATCCTATGCACCCTGCCCTAAATTCATTTAAAAAAACAAACACCTTTTGAAAAAACAGCTAGAGAGGTGATAGCAAAATTTTTAGAGATCAGGCACCCAAACTATAACCCCAAACCGATATATTTATCACAAAATTGCCAACTCTGCAATTAAACTCAAATACTGAGGTTTTAGTTCAGAAAAAAACAACTGGTATCTGATTCCTGGCTGCTGGGGCAACATGGCTCGTGTGGCGACACAGGGTTCTGTGTGCCCACTGCAGTTACGTGTGCCATAGTTTTGTGACCTAGGGGGCATGTGCCACCACCGCTAGGGTTCTGGAGAGGGAGTGCCACATACCCCAGGGAACATACCCCTTGAAGACCCCTGGAGTCTCCAAGGCAGCAAGGAATCCTTAAGAGTATTGGCAACCCATAAAACCAGTCTTGGTCTTGGGAGTTACTTCCTTGAGACACACAGGGCCCCTGGGTGGGAGGCTTTGGTCCTGAGGTCTTTAGCTTACTTCCCTCCCCTATTTCTCAGAGCATCTTCTATCTTTTAGTGGTTTTATTATTTTTTTTAACATTTTTTGTTATTTTTTATGAATTCAGGGCAGGGTTTACAGGTGTACAGGGTCTCGCTTCGTAGATTGGACTCATTGTGATTCTCGTGTTTTCAGGCTCCCAAGTGCTGGTGTTGTAGGCAGCCAAGTTAGATAGAAATATTATAGGCAGTCAGGCAGGGCCAGGCCCTCAAAGGAGACAGTGCAAAAGACAAGCTACCTTACAACTGTGGGAGGTATGGATGCTCCTGCTGTGAGCCAGACCTAAAGCAAACAAATGCTAACCTCCCTAAAGAATAGCATCCTGGATTGATCATTACCCTGAGAAAGCCAAAAAGAATCCTTCTCTGATGGCTCGTTTTACATTCATGCCCTCTTGCTACATGACTCGCTTCCCCATTTGGTCCCAGACTTAATCAACTTTACCTGAGCAATGGTGCTTGTAATCTCATTGGTTGACCATAGTTTTATCCCACCCCACATCCACCTAAGTGAGTTCCTCCTTTCACCACCTTAGCCCCACATGGTTTTACACTATAAAAGTCCCTGGAAGAGACAGCTTCCCGGGGAACAACCCTCTTGGTCCCCCCTCCTGTCCCTCTTGGGCAGGAGCTTTCTTTCCCTCATTAAATATATTCCACTCATAACCTCCATTTGTTCCTAAAATTCATTCTTCGGTTTTAGAGAACACGAACTCGTCCAGGTCAGGTTGGGAGATCATTTTTCCCTATGTCATGTGGAAGTTCCCTATATCATTGGGAGGTCACCCACCTGAGATCAGTTTTTCTCCCTGTATCACTGGGATTACAGGTGTGTGCCACCACGCCCCATCTCAATCTCCATCTCAGCGCACCCTGGGGGTGGGGCCAGCACAGCACACTGGGGATCGATTTTAGTGGTTTTAGATGATTGGAGCCCAGGTTCCACCCACTAGTGGACGTTTTCAACTCTTAGATCTCCATATTCCCTGCTGTGAGAGGCCTAGAACTTAAACATCAGTAAAATATGCTCCCTGATGCTGAGGAACTCCAGTGTAGCCACTCAGCAGATGGACAAGATGACAGCTACCATGACTTAAGCTTGGAGAGGGGTCCAGAGATGTGAAGAGAGAGCCAGGGAGCATGGAGGAGTAAATGTCCAAGTCTATGTCAAAACCGAAAGCACAACAGAGAGCTGAGTCTCAATTAAAGGGTAGGTGGAGAAAGGGAAAGTCACTTCAGGTTTTAGTAGACATATTTTTCTACCTTGGGTTTCTATTTTTTGAGAAACATTCTCTCGTACTTCATAGTTATCCTGGTTCATAGTAATGTCCCCCATAGTGACCCAGGTTGCCCAGACAGAGTAACCCTCTCGCAGAGATGCAGAAACAGGTACAGGAATCAGCAAACTGGGGAAGTTTCTAGGTGCATTATTTGGGTAGCGAGAACGCCATTCTTTCCCATGGTGGAATTTTTCACATAAGGGTGACCACTGAGAGCTATCATCAGCTGAGCCTCCATCAGCTGAGAGAGACTGGGCACATGCTTCTGAGAGTGAGTCATCAAGATCTTCAGTTATGGGAGTGATGTGAGCAGATGTGTGCTTGCAATGTAACTCTGGTGTCAGCATCTGGCAGAGACTGGACCCTGAGTGCAGGGAAGAAGGTGCTAAAAGAGGTGAATGCCAAATCTTCTAGTCCTCAGATAGCTCAGAAAGCAAGGGATAGAGCTGAGAGATATTTAGGAGGTGAAGGGGACAAAACTAGATGATAGGACATGACAGGGAGCAGAGAGGTCAGCAGGGCCAGCTCGGAATACAGGCACACCCAGATTTGGATCCTGCCTGCTACACCCAACAGCTGTGGGATCTTATTTAACCTCTGGAAGCCTTCTGCAGCTGCAAACTGGCAATGGTCACAGCGCATATTTCATGGAGTTATGAGGTTTATGAAGCACATAGCACAACATCTGGCACAGAGTAACACCCAATAAATGATAGCTCTTGTGTGGAGACTGAAGAAGAAATAAAATTAAAGGTGACTCTAAAATCCTAGCTTGTGAATTTGGCAAATGTTGGTGTTCTTGACTGGAACTGAGAATGTAGGAAGGTAGGTTTGATAGAGAAGAGTCTTAAGCCTGTTATTTGGACGTCTTAAATCTGAGACGCCTGTAACCCCTGGTGACTGGGGTGTCCAGCAAACAGTTGGCCTCAAGACTTGAGGTTTGAGGTGAACCAGGCAATAGGCAATCACTGAAGTCACAGCAGACTGAAGAGAGCTGAGGACAGACACAGGCTACCAGGGAAGAGGAGCCGGCCAAGGAGTGAGAGCAGCTAAGAGGAAGGGAATGTGCAGAGGAAGAATGAGAAACAGTGGGAGGCTATGGGAATTGCTGCTTCTTCTGGAGGTGGGAATGAAAGTTTAAACCAAGACTGCTGACCCCTGGGGCCATCTTTTTTTGGGGGGATGTGGTACCAGGAATAGACCTCAGGACCTTGTGCTTACCAGGCAGGCACTTGTGCCACTGAGCTATATCCCAAGACCCCCGGGGCCTCATTCCAGGAGTCCACTGTGGCCTTTAGATAGCTTGTTCTCCCTTACCTCCAGGTATTGATCAGCCAAGCGTAGGAAGTGGTCAGTGATATTAAATATGTCTCTCCAGTCAAAGTCGGTCGTGTCGTCGGCCTGACCCACTCGAGGACCCTTGTAGAAGAAGTTTACTATGGCTTCAACAGAAAGGCCATCTTCACCAAGTTCTCTGTTCAAAAATTCTTTTACTGTTGGGTGTTCCAGGGTATCCTTGGGAAGATGAAATAAAGTTGCAGAAATTAGAAATTTCAAATAATCTTTAATCTTGTGCTTAGGCCATTTCTAGTTTTTCATGATTAGAGGTAACTCAGAGTATCCCCCCACGAACTAGTAAGTTTTCTCCTATTACAAAGCACATACCAGTCTCAGTCCCACTTTGTGCAAACACACGGGCCTCCAGAAGAAAGGCGAACACGTATGAAAGTGTATGAAGGGAAGAGGATGGGAAGAGGATCATACAAAATGATACAGAGGAAACTTCTTTTTTAATAGCTTTTGGTTGGCTCTCTTTGAGTTATAGAACTCATGTCTGTGTAGAATTTATGTCTTCTGAGTTTGCAAAGTTGCAAATGAGACTGGAAAGAACATTCAGCCATCTTTGTAGTGACTGAAATGACCCCATGCAGAGAGCCCCTTTGAATCCTAGATGCTCAAGTTAATTCATGAAAACAAGAAACCTCAGGGAACTACTGGTCTTGTGGCAGCTTTTAGATTCCCCCTGAATTTAAGAAACATTCTTGAATGACCCTGCTAAGTGACAGCTTCCAGAAACAGCGCCTCTGGTCCCCGCTTGTGATGGTTTGATCTAACTCCCCTAGTGACTGACTGTTTCTTGGGAAAAGGAAACAAACAGAGCCTTCCTGCCCCTGCCTCCCTCTCCCTTTCTGTCCTCCAATGGAAGGCATCCTTACCCTGACCATCATCATCTGCGTGCTGTTGTTAAAGAAGTACCAGATCTGGGGCCCCACTTCTTTCCAGGCTTTGACCAACTTCCTAACCCGCTCCAGTTCTTCAAAAGTTGAGTTGGCCTAAAATGAGAGAGAAGAACTTTTGGTTCTTAAACCAGTAATGCATAGGAAAGACTTCACAGAACTGTTTTTATTTTCCTGGTCTATTGATATTTCCCAGAACACTACCATTTGCCAGCCCCTGCCTGGATGGACAGAATCTAATTTGTCAGTGTCTCATAAGTACATATACTATTAATGTTGCTATTGTCTCAGAGCCTCATTAAAACTGTATTTGGACTCCTAGTGAGCAAATGCTCTTCCTTCCTATCTTTTTCTGTTCCAGGAAGCTAGGATTCAGAGAACTGTGAATGCTTCCTTAGGGATGTAATTCAAGCAGCAGAGAAGAAAATTTTACTGTAGGCTGCTGCAGAGACAGAAAGCCCTGGCAGGGGCACTGGTACACAGCATTTTTCTCATGGCTCTGGATGGGGGAGGAAACCCAAGAGTCCACATAGCCAAAAAGTGGGAGACTTGCTGCCAGAGCACATGAACACACACACACACACACACACACACACACACACACACACACACGCCCCTCTTCTGGGAGGTTTAAGGTATAAAGGACAAGACCAGCTGTGATCTTACATTTTTCAGTATTCTTCGTGCTGCAGGGGAATCAGGAGAGAAGAGGATTTTTCCCATCAGCAAAGGCTTTGCTGCCCTCCAGGCTATTTTGGTTAAAGGGTTTGACTCCAAGCTCTGGATCAGTGCATTACAAAAGGGTGCTGCAGGGAGAAAAGGGACAGATTTTAAAGAAACTCCCTGTTGTTATAACCCAGCATAGTCATTAGTGCCTCCAAATCACAGGTCTCACTGGACTCCACGCTGGGGGATTTGAGGAATAGCCTAAATTAGTAGGCTGTACCACACCAATAACAAGCTCATCATTAGTGACAAAATGCTACAGTGCTCCTCCGTAATGGCCTCATTGACAGGAGGCTAAGACGCCCAAGAGGAGCAGAGGGCTTTCTCCGATGAAAGGGAATGAATGGCCAAACAAGGCCCTTCTGGAATCTGAGCTTTAGTCTCAATAATTTCTCTTCAATTTACTGCTTTCCTGTGGTGTATCTATCTCAAGGTCCAATTCCTTTTGGTATGTCTCTTGTCATTTCAATTTTTAACCAAAGAGTCCAGCAGTTGTATTTCTTTCCTACCCCATTGTATTTTATCCTACAGGAGAAAAAAAAATGTGAACAATGATGTGCTTTTTGGAATGCTCAGTCCTACACACAGATTTTCACTGTGCTGTGTTTGTAAAAAAAAATTCCCCAGTCGTGGTGATTTGCCAGGGCTTTTTGACCTGAGCTTTGCTTGCAATTCTGGGTTGTCTCCTCATTTATCATTCTTTTTTTTTTTTTCCTCTAGAACTTAACCTCAGTTCAATTACATCAGTGGAAACGTCCTCTCTGTTCCCTTTCCAAGTGGGCCTCAGTGCTTTCAATGGCTTATATCCAGATTTTTTTTTTTTTTTTTTTTTTTTTTTTTTTAATATTAGCACCACTCTTTCTGCAAGGGAAAGCAGACTTTCTGGAAGAAGTGTCTTTGCTCACAGCCACTCAACAAGACCAAGATCAGTCACCCTCAGAACTGATTTTACTTGGAAGCGTTAATCAACATCTTAACCAATATTGGAGGTCAATTTGCACAGACCTCGACACTTACTTGTTGGGCTGGGTGTGAAGGTGCAGACCTATAATCCCAGCCCTGGGGAGGCTAAGGCAGGAGGACTGTTGTGAGTTCAAGACCAGCCTAGACTACAAAGTGAACTCAAGGTCAGCCTGAACTGTATAGTGAGAACATGTCTCAAAAAGACCAAACCAAACCAAACAAAACACTAAAATGAGAAAACTTACTTGTTTTTTTGTCGTAAGAATAAATAGGGTCTTTCCTTGTGGAGTCTATCCCCAGGAAGGCCTTATAGTTATTGTCTTCATACCAGTTGAAGGAGAACACCCGGGAGCCTCCTCCCTCTGGGTATCCACACAGGAGGTCAGACACGGTGCCCATGAGCTGTGCGAAGGTCTCTGGACCCCTGTTCTGCAGGAGGGGTCTGATCACCCACAGCAAGTCTTGAACACTTGGCCGATGAATGAACTAGGGCACAGAAAGGCTTTGAGTTTACCTTAAAGCAACCAGAATCAAGAGTTCCACATGTGCATGTTTGACTTCACATGTAAAAAAAAAAAATCCATCTTCTCATCAATCCTTAATACAACTGTGAAAAACAACAACAAAAACTCCTCTTGTCTACTGAGGGACAAAAAGAAAAGGATAAACCTTAAAGAAAATCAAAGAATAAATTCCAAAGCATTTTAATACTGCCCCTCTCTCTTATTTGAGTTCTTTGGGAGCATGTACTTAAAGCAAAGCAGAGATGATTTCACCCTAAGCTGCTTCCTATGTTCTGTTATCTCATCAAGATGAGAATTCTGGGGAGGAAATGGAAAATAAAACGATTGGGGAATGGCTCTCCTTAGAAAAGCAAGGTCAGGGCAAATTTCTTGGGCCAAATGCTTTAGAATTATTTTCCTATATTTGGAAAATTATCTTTTTATTAGATTAATTTTATCAAATGTGCTGAAATGTGTGGTTTGGGTGTGTGTGTGTATGTGTGTGTTTAAGATTCAAGCAAAAATAAGAGGAACAAAATCTGCATTCTTAGAACACTTCTCAAATTCTGTGTCAACTAGGAAAATTGTGCCGACCCTCGCCTTTCCTTACAGATGCTGTGGCTCTCGTGGGCCACTCCTTTGAGGGTAGATCTGTGGTGCTGCGAACGGGGATGAGGGCTGCCAGAGCTTGGTTCCCATAAAGCCATTTGGCTTTGGTTTAGGGAAAAATAGAAAGTTAAAACGATACTGCTTTTTCCCCAAGTACACCTTATTACTCATTTTCAAAGGCACTCGGGAATTTAAAAAACCATTAGGATTCAACCAGGTGTGACGGAAAACATTCTCCTGCTGCAATAAGTGATGTTTACCTGTCAACCTTCTCTTTGTCCACATGCCAACACTTGCCCTCAGAAACTGGCGATGGCCATGTGGAATCCACACAGTGAGGCACGCCTATAATCACAGCCCATGCTTCAGTAATAAAGTCGGAATCTCAGATTGCTTCAGTAACAGTGAGTCTTATTGGAAGAGGTACTGCTGTTATTATACTGCTTTTTTAATCAAAGAACTTAAGGCGAGGGGGCTCTTCTGGGGTCACATGGTCTAATATCCATCAATACAAACTGTACCATCTGCTTCAGCTGGGTTCGCAAATGCTTAGGCTTGCTGTTTAGACAAGCTGGAAATCTTCTGGAACTCCCACACAAAGCTAAGAGTGCTGATACATTTTGGGGAATTTTTACAGTCTTCATCAACTTCAACTCTATTATACTGATAAGAACTTTTTTTTTTTTTTTGCAGAACCGGGGATTGAACTCAGGCCCTTGCGCTTGCCAGGGAAGTGTTTATTCCACTGAGCTGTCTTCCTGGCCCCATGATAAGAACTTTTGAAATGCTATGAAGAAAAGAATGTTCGAGACTCCCACTGTAGCAGGTGGCATCCGCACAATGAGCCCTTTACTAATGGCAAAGCAGCTTTCCCACCCAGGTTGACCTTAGTTTTGTAGAAACAGATCCAACTGTGCAATTTTCCACCTTGGCTAAGCCCAAGTCAGCTAAGAGCACTAATGGAGGAGAAAGTTCGGGACAATTATGTTTTACCTTTGACTTCCCTTTCATAGTTTTTACCGCACTTGAAGAAAATGCTTGTTTCATGTCTCTCTTCCCCGCTGACCATGTAACACAGTAGTGGTGACTAGATCTGTTTGTCATTATGCCTCTAGCACCAATCAGCTACTGAGTGGAACAATCATATTCTTTACTGATTCTTGTGAAACTAGATTTTTTTTCTGTATTAGTTTTACAGGGTGTTCAGGGTCTCACTATGTAGGTCAGACTTGTGGTGATCCTCTTGTTTACAGCCTCCCAAGTGCTGGGATTACAGGTGCGTGCCACCACACCCAGTCTCAGTCTCTGGTCTCAGCATGCTCTGGGGACAGGGCTGGCACAGCAGGCCAGGGGATCAAACCCCCAACCCCTGTGTCCGCCTAAGCAGGCACTTTAATCCACTGAGCTATTTGGCTAACCCTCTTGTGAAACTATATGTTAATTAAAATGTGAATTTTTGGAACAATACATAAATGTGACCCTGGGGGGATGAAATGAGTCCATGGAGGCAAAACACTTAGAATAGTGCCCGTAAACCTCATATTAATGTGAATATTATTATTTATGGTATATATTTACATGGATTTGATTTTTTTTTTTTTTTGTGGAACTGGGGATTGAACTCAGGCTCTTGCACTTGCCAGGCAAGCGCTTATCCTACTGAGCTATCTCCCCAGCCTCTTCACATGGATTTTAAGACCATAAGAAGTAGAAAAGTATGAAGACGAAATATAGGAAGTGAAGCCATGTTGTTACGTTGAGCTGTGGGGGACTCAGGTCAATAATTTCTGACATTGCCAGTTAAACAGAAGACCCAATGCTATTATGGGCTACTGGACTCTTTTAGAATATTTTG